CTTCTCCCTCTGACCCTCCCCCCTCTCATGTGCTCTCTGGCTCTCTCATTCTCTCTGTCTCAAATAAATAAATAAAATCTTTAAAAAAAAAAAAAAAAAGCTGTGCCTTCAAAAGCTTAGCTTCTCTCCATTGGTGTAGCCACTGTGCTATCTCGGCATTGTCTTTTTCTTTTTTTCAGTATTTTCACGTTCCAGACAGTGCTACTTTCAGCATTTGCCCGGGGGGAGAGCAGCCTGCTGTGAAATCCAGCTCCCTTCCTTGCTGGGACTTAATGCCTGATATCAGCCAGTCACCGCTGGACACATCCCTGCTTCAGAAACAGATCTTGCTGGCCTTTTCTCCCTCGGCAGGTGCCGCCGGCTCCCATTGCTGGAGCCTGCCGGCCATAGTTAGACAAGAGTTTCCCAGACAGAGTGTAGCAGTGCCCTTCGGAAACTGCGGAGGAAATGGCTTCTGCACCAGGTACATCCGTGTGAACGCCCTTCTCTGCTTGTCGGTGTGGCTCTTCATCCAGGTGCCCTGCTCCCTGGATGTAAAACTAGGTTTTACTTTTATTTTTAATGGCTTCTAGACATTGTATGCATTGGGCATATGTTGTGATCACATGTGGCGTGTCCTGGTGTACTACTGATGAGATTTTTCCCTAGTGCTGACGCAGCTTATCCTGGGGCGGGGGGGGGGCGGGTATGATAGTGTTTGTCCCACAGATTAGTGGCAATACATCGCAAGGAAAAGATCGCCTTCTGTGAAGACTTCTTAGCCTCTGTCAAGGGTTAAAATATGAGGGAGGCCAAGTTGGAAAACGCTTTTCCTTTCCCATATTTTACGTCGACTTCAAAATGGAATTTTTCTTTAAAAGTCATTAAGAGAGATAACTTAGATAAATACAAGTCACAGAAGACTCTGTTCTGTGGTTGTTCCTGCACGCAAGTTGCTCCCATTACCCATTACCAATTATGCAAATAACAACCACAGAATCAAGCCGGAGACATGTAATGGTTTGTTCATACTGGACTTTTAGTTTGTGGTTGTTTTGCATGCAATACGTCCCTTCTGGAGCTGTCAGGAATAACTTATTTATGGTATATGTAAAAAGTACAAAAGAAAACATATCGTGATCTTACCAGAGGTGCCTTCTTCTCGTGACTGAGAATTTACGGACTTTGAGACTTTAGCTCTCCTAACTTTTTGATGTCTACAGAGATTTCTAGTAGTCATAGTTTAAAAGATAACTTCCTAACTCATGTTATCCATAATAGTAAGGCCCTGTTCCCTACATCCATCCCTTCTTCTTTCACAGCATTCAGAAATATCCCTCATTTTATAAACACTTTTCATCTCTGATCCTGGACAGGAGTGGTTATATTTATATTCTGGCTGGAGAAGTTAAGTGTGGGGAGTTTAAGGAAGCATTTTTGAAAGTGATGTGAACCTATGTCGAGAAAACAAAATTTATTTTTAAAACTGAAAGACAAAATCTTAAATAAGATTGCATTTGGGAATGATGTTTAAAATTCTAAGAATTGTAAGACATGATTTTATTAATATAATTTAATCTTATCTATGAATACTAAACTAGATATTAGATTGAAACTACCATATGTTAGTCCTGGCCCCTAGCTTTCTTGGCTAGCAAGAAGAAATTCTCTGAGGTTGGCTTGCCCCGGCTCTTTCAAAATTAGGCTGGGAAAAGAACTTTGGTATGTATCCAAGGACTGCACTCTGCCAGTGAATTCACTTCCTACAGCCCCATCTCCTCCTGTCTCTCTCCTCCCCTCACTCTACAGTGCACGTTGGATGGTGTTATTAAGATGATTTCCCCAAATGCTAACGGACAGCTCACTTTGGCATTTCAGGCAAATACTATCTTTGGGAAGGACTCACACTGGTGAACAGGATAAATGGCAAATGAGAAATTCTTCAACGCATTATCAACTCCTCTTCATCCGTGTAAACTGAGGGCCCCATTTGGCAAATAACCGATTCCTTTGGTTAATTTGATCAGTCCATGCAATTTAAACTGCAGAGAGGATTTTTTTTTTCCTGTTTTGATATGAAATATTGTTTGGTTGTCTGTGGTGTGAACTGGAAAGTTTCTGTCTCTCCATTGCAGGGCAGCCTGTGTCCACACAGCCGTTTTTCCAGTGCCAATTAAGACCGCTTTGCCCTTGGTGGTCTAAGTGGAGATCATGTAAAGTACGGTGATGTTGTGAATATTGACAGCGGGCGTTATGAGCCTGCCTACCTTTAGAATATAAAAAGAGCAAGCACCCAGATTCTCTAGCATTCCTTCTAAAAGTGCATCAGCTCCTCTTATGCCAAAACTTACCAGGCACTGCTGAGGAAGAAGGCACTCCATGTGAAGAGGAAAGCAGGGTAGGAGGCAGGGTTAGTGCAAGGCTGGCTCTAATTCTCTCTAATTGGTAGATGTTATGTTTTTCCCCTTTTAAATAATTTTTTACGTCTTTGAATATTTTATGATAATCATACGTTAACGTTGTGAAAAAAATCGGTAAAGCTATAATTAGCGTATGACAGTTAATGGATGAGAGGGTGGCCTCCTTTCTCTGGAAACATTTCCTCTGGTGGATAAAAGAGAAGGCATTGTAGAGTGGTGAATATTACAGATCTGAATAAATATGGACCAGGAGAGTAAGCATTCATTTTTTTCTAAAGCACTTCTGTCATTTGATCTGCTTTCATTCTAGGGCAGTAGCACTGACATATCAAGAACACTTTGGAGTGACTTACTTAACCCTCTCGGAAGACCCTAGTCCTCGAATAATTTTCCACAACAGATGTCCAGTAACAATCCTTATAAAGGAAAACATCAAAGGTATATTTTATGGCATTGAATTTAAATCATATAAAACCTATATTCTTTGCGGAGGTTTTTAATTCAGTAGCTACCCGTGATCCTGTGAAGAATGTTTAAATAAAAGTATCATTCAGGGGCACCTGGGTGGCTCAGTCATTAGGCATCTGCCTACGGCTCAGGTCATGAACCTGGGATCCAGCCCCGCATCGGGCTCCCTGCTCGACGGGAAGCCTGCTTCTCCCTCTCCCACTCCCCCTGCTTGTGTTCCTTCTCTCGCTGTGTCTCTCTCTCTCTCTGTCAAATAAATAAATAAAATAAAATCTTTAAAAAAAAAAAAGTATCATTCATCCCTCTTCAAGAAGTTTCCCCTGCCGCATTATGTTTAATATCCCTTTGTCTTTGTCTTCAAGGCCTAAGTCTGCATATGCCTTTTTTTTTTTATTTCAGATATTCCAAAGTTTGAGGTTTATTGCAGAAGAATTCCTTCTGAGTGCTCAATTCATCATGAACTATATCATCAGATTTCCAGTTATCCAGACTGTAAGACCAAAGACTTACTTCCCAGCCTCTTCCTGAGAGTGGAATCTCTGGAGGACGTAACAACGGAGTGGAGTGATGCTGTCGACATCAACAACCAGGGGACACAGGTCAGTGAGCCATGCATCTTCCTGCCACGGCCCAGACACAGATTCCCTTTTCTAAGGGTTCCATGCTTATCTATTTTTGAACAGTTTTCCAAACGCTGCACTTCTTGTCTCTGTGAGGACGCATGTGTATCCATTTTTACGTCCTCATTTGGTTATAAATTCTCCAATACAAGTCTGTATCTCCAAAATGTACTTACAACTGTTAACCAGCATGGAGCACTTGGTAAAGGCAAGCCCCTGTTGGGTCTAATCCAAGGTCAAAAAGGAAATACAATTGTTAGACTTCTCTATGTAGAGGGTAGTCCTACTGTCCAGATTTTAGGAAAATCATAATGCCAACCCTAGATTCGTCCCCTCTTTTGAAAGTTTCAAAACTTAATCTAAAAATACACATATTTTTGCTGAAAGTACATAACAGTCTGCAAATATAAGTACAGTTTAAAAACCCTGAACAGATAAATGTCCCGATTTGTCTGTCTTACTCTCCGTGTTGGTGGTGGTTTATTTTTATTGAAAATGGCATATGATCCCAGCATTTCATTTCTACGGTACTGAAAATTTGCCAAGGTTAGGTGTATGACTAAAAACACACACTGTCGTGCAGCCCTCCCCGCTCTCTAGTCCGTCATCACCGACAGGAAACTGTCCTCCCCAGCCTCCCTCCGCTCAGCCCCCGGGGACCACTGCTGTCCTTGGTGTCTCTGAGCTTGGCAGGTTCGAGGCACCTCGTGTGAGTGGAACCACACCACACTTGTCCTGTCGTGCCGGCTAGTTTCACGCAGCCTAGTTAGTGTCTTCGGTGTTTGTCCGTGCTGCGGCGTGTGTCGCCGCTTCCTTCCATTTTAGGGCTGAGTGATCTCTGCTGTACTTTGTTACGGTTCTTTCACACCTGGTCGTTCATTCATAGGTCCGTCCCATTTACTGTAATGGTTACAAGACACCTATTAAATGTATAAATATATTTACCGTAATAACAATTATCATTTAATAATTGCTTACTGTACATCAGGCATCGTGCTGAACACTTTGCATTCATTCCTCTCTAACCCTGCCGTAGCCGTACACAACAGGACGATGATCTCCACGTTACACAAGTGAAAACTGAGACCTCCAGAAGTAGCACGGCCTAATTCCCTTGTGTTATAAGAGAAGGAACTGGGGTGTGATCCACACCTGCCTGACTCCAAAGCACTGCTCCATACCGCTGTGCTATGAATCCTACTTCCCTGCCTGGGATTCCTGAACTCCCTCTTCCCCAGCTGGCACATTCTTTCTCATCTCCCAAGAGATTCTCTCTCTTCCCCTCACTGCAAAGTCTCCTCCCCACTACCGGCCCCTCCACATGTTCATATAACATTTGCAACATTTAATTGCATTTCTTTCTTTTTTTTTTTTTTAAGATTTTATTTATTTGAGAGAGAGAGCAAGCGAGCCCGAGTGGGGGAGAGGGGGGAGGAGAGGAGCAGAGAGAGAAGCAGACTCCCCGCTGAACAGGGAGCCCGATGTGGGGCTGGATCCCAGGACCCCAACTGACTGAGCCACCCAGGTGCCCCTGCAATTACTTCTTTAAGTGATTTCCTACCAAGTTAGAATTCCTGGTGGTCAGATACCTGCCTTATTCATCCTCAGCCCGCAGCAGAGTGCCTGTCAGCACCCTAAGAGTAAATATCAAATCAGTAAATGAATGAATGAATGAGAAGATGAGATTAGGCGAGAGAGATGGTGTGAAGGAAGGAAAGAGAGCCCCAGGTCTAACCTTGGGAAAGGCCAGCGTGTCAGTGCAGGGCAGCAAAAGAGACGGAGAGGAAGAGGCAGAGGGGCAGGGGGCAGACAGAGCCTCTGGAGGACAAAGTTTACAGGCTGTCAAATGGTGGAAAGAGGGAAGCAAGGTAGCAAGTGGAAATGACAAGTTCAGAGTGAGTGGAAGGGAGGGAGTGGAGGAACATGTGAGAATTGTTTCTGGTCTCCGTGCTGCAGGGACGGAGTCAGTCAAGGAGAAGTGGGGAGGACAGTGAGGAGCGGCCGGGGAGGCAAGTCCAAGGCCCAGGGAGTGTAGTTGTGCTGGAACAGGAGGACCTCGTAGAAAAGAGGTGGGGATGGACATAGGTTAGGGAGAGCTGTTTGGAGAGAGGGACCGGGAAAGTGAGTGTGAATTGACCCTCTGAGGACTTAAGTTTATTGTGAAGTATGGAGTAAATCATCCACTAAGAGGGAGAGGGAAAGGGCTGGGGGTCTGGGGAGAGAAGTAGCTGCGGAAACAGACGAAGGATGTGGCCAGGGACAGGTGCAGGACTAGCCGGGGGCCCCAGTCACCTTGGAGACCTGCATTCGTAGTGGCCCCAATTACAGGGGAGCGGTTTCTGTCAGCAGTACTCACTGGCTGCACACTGAAAACCTGCTGGATCTGCGCAGCCCCAGGAGATGCTCCTGGTCTCATTAACGTACAAAATAAAGATTGCAAGCTGCCCAAGGGTTCCTGAACTCCTCTGCATCGGTTTGAAGATTTTTCAAACCTTGCTTGCTTCTGTAGGTCTAGGGAATTCTTGACAATAGGCATTCTGCCTGCCAAACCTTATTTCAGGGATTCCCGTTCACTCTAAATTTCCTCAAACCTTTGTAGTCACAGATACTTCAAAGCTAGGAGGAGTACTCTTTCCAACACCCTTATCATCCCTGGTCTGAGGACCCAGCAAAGGCTCACGTTCCCATTAATCTTGGAGGAGCTGTGTGCCATATGTCCCGCAGACCATGGCTCACTTCCTACTCTGCAGGAAGATTTGTTTCAGACCCTCACCAACATCTCCTCGGTAATACACCACGGCATGTAAATCACCGGGGAGCGAAGGGCGCTGTGTCCTCTGATGAAAGGAAGCAGCCCTTCTATAGAAGTGAGTTTGTCTTCCAGGAGCCTTTCCTCAGCCCTGGGTCTGAGCCCCGTGACGCGAATTTCAAAGCTGACCTTAAAAAAGCAGGATAAAAGCACCGTAAAATCCCCAATCTGCCTCAAGGAAGACAACTCCTTTAGCTCTTGCCGGTGATCGGCCCTCGCCTCAGCTCTGGAAATAGGACAGTGTCATGTCATATAATTTCGAAATGGAATATGACAGGGAACATTCAGAAAGTAAGTTTATAATCACACAAAGAGGTATTCTTTGGCTCAGGAGTTATTGGGAAGGCCTGATAGCACGTAGGCCACAAAATTCTGACCGTTTTTGGAGGGGGCTTTCCTGGGTCGTGTTAGTAGCTCACACCTGCTAGAAGACATCCCCTGCTTGCTCACCAGAGGCCCTGAAGCAGCAGCTGGTGCTCTTATCCTGAACTTTACAGTGGGTGGGAGCCTGACTCCAGGGGAAAACATCTCTAGATTCTGAACACATAAGTAAAGACATAAAAAATGAGCTTTCGTTGAGCATTTTAAGTCACAGTTTTGATCCCATCAGGAAAACAGTTTAGAATCCTGCCTAGTTTATGGGACTGCAGTTTCCAATAATCAGAAACCTTATTTTCGTCAGCGCTAGGCAGTATTTTTTTGAATAAAAAGGTAACAAAGGAAACGTAGCTGCCGTTTAACTAACGCAAACACTGAGAAGCATGCGTCAGTCACCAATCGACAAATACTTACTGAGTCTCTAATATGTGCCAGACGCTGTCACTTGGTAGTGGGACCACGTGAAATACAGTGAACGGGAGGGAACGCTGCCCTTGCACTTGGGAAATGCCACGTGGGGGAGACAGATAATAAGCCAGCGCTCCCCAGGCTGTCGTATTGTGAACTCTGGAAGCAACTGCGAAGGGCAGGTCAGTTGTCCTGCTAGGATGTACAGCAGACGAGCTTGAGAGGCCAAGGAGTACCTCTCCAGTAAGAGACCTCGCATCTCTGCCTTCAAGTTGAACAGGCATGAAGTAGACAAGAAAGTGGGAGATTTTTCTCGGCGGAAAGAGCAACATGTTTGAAGCTTTGGTGCTCAGAGAGGGAGCCTGGTCGCTTTGGGGATCTAAATGCCAGTGTGGCCAGAGTGCCAGATAAAGGAAAAGGGGGCAGGAGGGGGACTAGTGAGGCAGTTCAAGGCCAAACCCAGCCAGATTCAGTATCTGCAACCAAGGATTTGGGTTTTTATCTTAAGAGCCATGGGAAGTCTTTGACTTGTTATGAAAAGCAATTTCTGAGCCATTGAAACAGCAAAGAAGAATGAGCAGTTTGTACCCCAGAAGGTTTGCAGGTGCGTTTTCTTCTAAAAAGATCCAGTAAATTCTCATAATCTCTGACACTTAGCAGAAGTGTTCCATGGAGTCAGTGTCACCAGGATTTTCTTCTCCGTGTGTGTGTGGAAGATGGGGAGTAACAGTCTTTCATGTTTCTGTAGCTCTCTACCATTTACAAAGTGCCCGCATATCCACAGTCTCCATACTTTCGTTCATTTATTCGGCAAGCTTTAATTGAGGAACTATCCAGGGCCAAACCCTTTGCCCCGAACAAGGCCTTACTCCTGCTCCAAGGACCTGAGCGTAAGTAAATAAATGCAGTCAAGTGGAGTAAGTCCCAAGACAGAGCCTTTGATCGTGGCAAAAATTCTAGGATCATTAGGGCAATAATTTTTCTGTTTATTTTCCTGATGAGAGGTTTGAGGCTTAAAGAGTCATCAGCTAGGTGGTTTATAACTAAGCAGGATCAGGCTGGAACCGGGATCTGCCCACATGTGACCCAGTCTTGTTTTTCCTGTACCAAACAGAGGTCCCTGTCTGTCCTTTGGAGTCCAGCCCTGGCTACAGATATTGCTACCTGAAGGTTCATGAAAGCACAGGTTAGAAGAGCTTTTCTACTTTCCCCTCTATGCAGGGCAAGAGTCCCTCCCGTGCCATCTCCCCTCAGTGTTCTGGCTCGGGCTTATTCCAGCAGTGACTATAGGAAAGTTTCTGCTCGTGTCGAGCTGAAAACCCTCCCTCCGTGGCACCCACTCATTCATCCTTGTTTTACCCTCTGGGGCATCACAGACTGTTTA